AGTGTTTTGTTAAAGTGTCGGCTAAGAGATTGAGGCGTATGACCTGTAGTAACTACACGCCTGAGCAAAACAAACTCGCGGGGTCGTGATTGATGGTCTATACGGAATGTCTTGTCAGCTGACTAAACCACGAACTGCAGTAATTTCTTAGCTTGGGCTAGCTTTAAGCTCTTTATGCAAGGACTGCCTCTATAGTTGGCAGTGTGGTTTTCCTCACAGTTGCTACATTTTTTGGCAGAAAGTTTCTCCCTATCAACAGGTCAGGGCTCAGTTGGATGTGCATCGCAGACTGAATGTAGAGTGTAATAGGCTTTATTCCTGGCCATACCTTTCCGTTTGAGGAGTTTCTTAACGGTGAGCAGTAGATATTATATTTATATTATTTTATTATATTATTTTTCTTCAAATGATTATTTTCAGACGTCTGTTCTACGTTGAACATTGGCTATGGAATTTTATTTTTATTAAATATGTTGAGAGCCATTTTGACATAAAAACACTTTTCTTTAAATCCAGTAATTATATCGTTTATAAAGACTGTTGGATCGATTCCTTTTACTACCACATGTAATCCTGTAATTTGGGGGAGTAGTAATTTATTGTCCGATGTCAAAGTTTTTAACCGTTTTAACCCTTTTAAGAATATTTTCAGTAAAAAATTCATGTAACAATAGTTTTGATTCCATTTTTGTAGGGTGTGGGATTAAAAAGTGAAAAACAAACTCGACCCAAAAAAGAAACAAATTTTTAGTTACAGTTTTTGTAGTTACTTAACAGTAAGTTACAGTAAGTGAAATAACCAAAACAAAATAAAGTTACCTAATCCTATGTAAATTAATTTTTTTATGTGGGTAACTCTTAAGGCAGCCATAAAATTAACAGTAATGTGCTACAGTGCTATATTTTGGTAGACAATTTGATGAAAAAGTTTTGGTATTCTGCCAACGAAAAATTTGTCTGTGTTTCTAATGACACAGGCGATGAGAGGCTAACTAAAGCTTCATTTGAGTATCACCCGCCTATCAGATATTTTCACATAATTTGGGTTTTTATGAAACCGAAGCCATACATTTTCATTAGCCACGTTAAAGTAACATGTCGAAATCAATTTTATCTTCCTTTCCCTCTCTGTGGCTGCTTATTATAATTTAGTCTATCGGTGCCTTGAGAGAAGCAATTAAACTTTGCACAAATTATATAATTGATTTTCAAAACCAAACTCAATGGCTTCTGGCGTTTTCGTGGAAAGCCCATTCACTCTGTAATTAACATTTCTTTGAAAATGGTTGCTTTTTGAGTGTTTTTATTTTGGCAAGGAAAGAACCTGTTTAATTTTTTAATGGCGCTAAAATGTATTGTCAATTATGCTTGCCAAATGTAATTAATAGAGAAGTTGAGTTCTTATATGGAATTGGTGGATTAAAGTGAAGCTTAAGTTCATCACATCAAGTTCAACATTTTGGAATTTTTATTACTGTCTCTGAGCTAGAACTTAAAAAAGTTTTTTACACCAACTCTTCTAAAAGTTTCCCTGGACTTGCCTAAAAACTGTTTGTATTTCGGCACTCAGTATTATATGTCCTTGATCGGATGTGTATACACCATCCTCGTGAATATCTGAAGTCACTTAATTAAATCTGCCTATAGGGCATTGCTTACACGTAAATTCATTTAAGTGGTCTTGAATGTATCCCTGCTAAGCTGAAATTTCTCCGTATTTTCAAACCCACGTGCAAATACTTCCCTCCGACTGCATCCTCCAAAGCAAGCCATTGAAATCCTTCACAATGATTTCCCAGTGCAGCTCTGCAAATCAAATATAAAATAACTGACACACAAGATAGATGTTTGAAACTGAACGTGCGGCTGGGGAAAATTTTGTTGTTGGTTTTGCTGATGTTTGGTGAGCGTGCATATTGCATTTAAATTATTAAAAACAAGAAAGAAAGCAAACTTCGGCAAGCCGAAGTTCATATACCCTTGAAGCTATTGCATGAATTAAATACTTTTGAAAACATTTAAATTATGATTTACTTCAGTATATACTGAAAAACAGTGAAGCTATGATGATTTGCAGCTCAATTATTAGATAGTTATTTTATATATTTTTATTAGTTCTATGGGAGCTATATGATATAGACGTCCGATTTTGATAAAATTTAAACCATAATTCTGAAATAATTAAACATTGCCATATGTCGAAGAACTAAACAAAAAATTAAAAAACAGAAAAGTTATAATTTTTTTTCATTTATTTCTCCGATTGTTCCTATGGGAGCTATATGATATAGTCGTCCGACTTTGATGAAATTTAAACCGTAAATCGAAAATATTTAACCATTACTAAATGTCGAAGAACTAAACAAAAAATTAAAAAACAGCAAAGTTATAATTTTTTTTCCTTTATTTTTCCGATTGTTCCTATGGGAGCTATATGCTATAGTCGTCCGATCCGGCTCGTTCCGACTTATATACTACCTGCAATAGAAAGACAACTTTTGGGAAAGTTTCATGCAGATAGCTTTAAAACTGAGAGACTAGTTTGCACATAAACGGACGGACAGACGGACAGACGGACGGACAGACGGACAGACGGACATGGCTAGATCGACTCGCCTAGTGATGCTGATCAAGAATATATATACTTTATAGGGTCGGAGATGTCTCCTTCACTGCGTTGCAAACTTCTGACTGAAATTATAATACCCTCTGCAAGGGTATAAAAATGATAAACGCCAACTTACAACTACATAGGAGAAGGCATAAAAAGAGCAGAATAAAAAAATAGTTAAAAATTATTTTGTCTTCGTTTTCATAAAGTTAAATATTGAAGATGTTAAAGAAATTAAAAGTTAACGTTTCTATAATTTAAACACGAAATGGAAAATTTGTAGGTGCAAATTAAAAATCTATATTTGAAATGGTTAGCAATAATTTATTTACTTTATGTATTGGGTTTCCTTTTCATATTATGTGGGACATTAACAAGAGTAGTTAAACCAAGAAATTAAAGCCTGAAAGAATTCATAAGAATTTATTAATGACCGGCCTTTGTGAAAACTTACTACCGACTTCACCCTAGAGGCGACTACTACTTTTGTTTCGTGTTTTAATTGAATCGCTGATTCTTACTGTTCTTAAAGTGCAAAATTAACAATAATGTACAAGCAATGGTCGGAACGAAATGAAATTTCATGCTTGGCCAATCGCAAGAGTTTAAAAGTTTGCATCGTTTTCATGACATCTCCACTGAGCGTGTGGATAGCCACAATACGCTATAAGTTGAGCACTTAATCCGAGACCAAACACCACCACCAGCATTAGCGGCCACCAAAGCAGAATGACACCCCGATTAGCGCCAGCTATGGAGGGCCCTATACCCTTCCCCCTTACTGCCGCTTGTGTACAGCCTGGCTGAACTGTCTGACTGTCCTATAATTAGTTGATAGCTTTTATTTGCCTTAAACTGCAGCACGTGCTGATAAATAAATACCCTCCAGAGTGCTTTGAAATGTAAAATCCGAATCCGAAACAGATTGAAGCTCTACCAATGCATTTTAAAGAGGTGACATCAGTCCGCTTGAAATGTTTTGCCGCTTTAGAATCAGAATCTTGGACTTGGGGATACTGAGAGAACTGTAAGAAACAAAGCCTAACATGAAGAAATAAAATATATATATAATATAAGAAAAAATTCCAATGAAAATTATTTTTACCAAAAAAAAAATGGTAGAAAATTTTTATTTTTTTTTTACTGTACATTTTTGGGTTTAGTAGAAATTTATCATTGAAACCCCTAATTTAAGGATCAAACCAAACGCCTATTTCGACTTGCAGTTAATCGGTAGAAAAGACCTAAAAGACCTTTTTAACTTACTTATATTCAAAAAATTTGACAAGCCGAAGGTTAAATATCATCCAAGTCATACCCAAAGTTAATGACAAAGTGAACTGCGGGAGAATGTGTACATATGACACATGATGAAGTCAACTCCAGAAATGGGCCTCTTCAAGAATATATATACTAGAGCCCTAGCATAGTTTTCGGTAAATCACGTGGAAATTATTTAAGGTTCAAATGGCTCAGCTCATGTACAATTATAATTATCTACTTGATCTAACAAGGAAAAGCTCATGGGGCTCATGACTTCTATGACTGCTTTGAAGTGCAATGGCCACGATTCTCACCGGTTGATATGAATGTCTTCTCCGTTAAGTCGAAGCACAAACTGCAAATTCTTTACAACAAGAGGATGGCTTGAAGTATTCAGTTGCGACTAATATTTTCCGTTGAATCGATCCACAAATCGCGAGTTCTTAAGAGCAAAGGAATAACTTTATTACGCGGTTAGAGCCCGAACCAAAAAACCCGAATTCTTAAGAACAAGAAACTTACGACACAATTTTAATGCCCATGAGCTATGAATTGAAAAACATGGGTGAATCGAATGGCTCATGAAAACAAAGGGAACTAAGCGAACAAAGGGCTTTGCAGGGCTTTAATTTATACTTTATAATGTCGGAAATGTATAACTGGTATAAAACAGTATACGCTTAACTCAAAAACTAACCAGTTTAGCAAAGGTGTGTCGCTCTAGCCAAGTCCGTACTTCTGACCGTTTCTACACAAACGAGTCTCTTAGTTTTATACCTATCTGAATGAAAAACTTACAAAAGCTTTTTTTTTATAGCACGTAATATTAAAGTCGAAGCAGGGCGTATCTGAAAAATGTTAGTCAAAATTATAACTTCTTTGTTCTTAAACTTATGCTCAGAGATATACTCGTTTTTTACAAACATCAGAAATATTGTTTTAATATTATGATTCGGATGACATTATCATAGGAAAAATACATAAACATCACAATTTTGTTGTGTTTCAACATACTTGTATGTACATATAACTCAAGATACGAGTATGTATGCATACAAATCGATATTTGGTCGTTTTCGATTACTATATGTATGTATTCAATTTGCAAAAAAAGAAAGAAGCATTCTTTGTTGTTTATCTCATCATTATACTTTAAACATTTAACAAAAGTTTTAACAGAATTGGATACAAAAATACAAAGTCATTTTATTCAAATACTTGTGATTGACTAGATCGCTAACAGCTATTCTCACTATTCCGAGTCTTCGTAGACATCTAGGTTAAGGCAGTTGGTCCAGAAGGCATCAATGGTATGGTACAAGTGAGGCAGGGCATTGCCGATTCCATGGTTTTCGTCGGTATAGGTCTGCAATTTATCAAAGCAATCATTAAACATTGTGGACAACCAGCAAATGTTTCAATTTTTTAACCTGCTCTTGGAACTGAATATCATGTCTTTGCAGCAATTTGGCCAGCAACAATGAGTGCTGGTAGTGGACATTGTCGTCTCCGGACCCGTGAATCAACAGGAAATCATGGGTCCTGAAGTTTTCCAGATTCCGGAACACACTGCTTTCGTTGTATTTCTGTAGGTTGTCATCGTCAGTAGGAAGGCCCATGTAGCGCTCGGTATAAATCGTATCTAGTTTGGAAAAAAAAAACTCTGTTATTCACTGGGATTACTAAACAAAGTGCCCACAAACCATAGTACAGCCATGAAGTGACTGGAGCCACTGAAACTCCACACTGAAAGATCCGATCGTTATCCTTCTCGATGGTCTTAGCCGTCATGTAGCCACCGTAGCTCCATCCCCAAATGCCACACCGTTCGGCATCCACGTAGGCCAGATTCTGTTGCATCCAGCGAGTGACGAACAGTTGATCCTCGACCTCGTGATCGCCCAGATCATTGTTGACCGCGAAGAGCAGGTCCTTGCCCTTGTTGCCTGTACCGCGTCCGTCAATATACGCGTAAATCGTATCCCTGGAGGTCGTGACAAACGCCTCATAACCCAACGTAAATCCGTTGGTTACTCGGACCGAGTTGGGTCCCTGGTACACAACCACGATCAGTGGGTACTTCTTGGCCGCATCGAAGTTGGGCGGAAGGGCCAGCTTGGCGATGCCGATGGTTCCATCGGCCAGGGTGACATTCAAGAAGTGGTAGCTGGGACGCAACTTCTGCTCCAACTGTTTGCGGTACGCCGTGTTTGGCTCCCAGTCGACCTGAAGTCTGTTCGTGGTGGCCTCGAAGATCTGCGTGTAGCTCGGATTCGGTCCGTTGCAGGAAAGTGTGTAGTAGGAAAATGACTTGCTGAAGGTGGCAGAAGCAGAGCGACAGGCCACGCCCTCCGCATCGACTTGGGAGCAGCTAAGGCACTCGTCGTTGCCGTACACATGGTACACAGAGGGATCTCCGGGCAGAGTGGCTTGGTAGTAGCTAAAGAACGAAATGGAAGGAAACTGTTGTAAGTATACATTTGGGTCATTGCCCTAATAATTAACTATTATTAACTGATCAAAAATTTTCGAAATTTAAGATCCTATAATTTAATAATTTAATTTAATTTATAATTTAATTTGAGAATTTATTTCGTGGTTTCGCCTTGAATAGTGTTAATGCTTATGTTTTTATAGTATTTATAACCTATCCCTTGAGTTTGACTATAGGGATATATTGGGTATACCCCAAGCTGGCATATTTCTGTCATACGGTTTATAGGGATACATTCCCGATATTCAGCAGAGTAAATGTAGATCCTTTAAACTTTCCAAGACATATGTTTTTATGTGTACACTGTTTATGCTAGAGAATCTTCAAGATCGGACGTCTTTATCCTATAGCTGCCATAGGAACGATGGGGTGAAATTTGAAAAATGAGGTAGTTTTTTGCCTAATTCGGATTGCATTACCACAAACAACACATTGGCTAGAGTAAACTCACAGTTTATCCCTCGCTTCATCGTATCCATAGACGGTCAAAACGGTGAAGTTACCGCGCAACTGCCAGCTGTTGAGTCCGGTCTGCAGGTCCAGGTTCCACACTTGGTGCCAGTTGTCTATGAAGTATCTGAAGATGCAGCTCTTGCCGGTGCTAAGGCACTTGGGTGTGCTGATATCCACCCAGCCGAGCGGCTCCTCCAGTCGCTTCACCTCTGTGCAGACGCCTTGGGAGCTGCAGCTCTGAATTGAGGCGCGGTTCTGCCGCCGATTCATCCAGGTGATGAGCAGGTGCGTCTGGTTGGACCACACAACGTTCTGTAGGATGTGATCGCTTCCGACAACATCCACGGGCGCCACGATGGGGTACATGGTGGGATCGTTGTCGGTCACGTCGTAGACGCGTAAGCTCACCACTGGGTTTTTGGAGCCCGACTTGGGGTACTTGAGGTGCTCCTCGTGCGGGTACTGATAGAAGGTGCTGGTCCCGTCGCCGTACAGGAAGTAGTTGAAGGTCTCCACCTCGGTGTCGTCGAAGAAGCCCACCGCCAGCTTGGTGGCGTCCGCCGACCACCACAGGGCGCTACCGCTGCTCAGGACCTCCTCCTCGTAGACCCAGTCGGGCACTCCATTGTACACCACTCCATCCACCCCGTCGTCCGTGATGCTGACCTCCATTTTCTCGCTGAAGTGGATGAACACATTGTTGAGGTAGACGTAAGCCAAGCGATCCCGCTGCGGCGACCATCCGCAGTACTGCAGCTTTTCACCCTTGTGGATTTGGACGGTGGTGTTGCTCTCGATATCGAACACGTCATACTGGGCTATGTACGAGTGTCGAAACTTCTCCGTGAGGTTGTGCCGGATCAGGATCTTCGTGTTATCTGGTGAGAGCGAGAAAGTTGCCCCCACATAGTTGTTCTAAAAGTAAAGCCGGTATTATTGCCGCACATTGCATGGGCATGCTAACTATCTTACCAGAAACGAGGAGTTTTGGAAAATGACGTCCGTTTTAGTGGCCGCGTTGAATTTGTGGATGGATCTGTCTGAGGCGGTATAATAGAACTCCTCATCTAAAAGTGTATGATAACAGAAATAAAATATAAAATATTAAATACTAAATAAATAAAAATATAAAAAGGTAACCACTTTTTGGACCTTCTAATGATAGCGACTTGTGAGTTGATTTACCTAAAATTTTAAGCAAATAGGCAATCTGATGATCTTGTCCATTGTAGTTATTTTATTCTTGATGACCTTTTAATGGTATTGTGGGTTAAGTGCCTCACCTTTCAACTGCAAAATACTTTCTTCTTTTCTCTTTATTATATTTCAAAATAATGTGAATGTTATTTAAACTTTGTTAAAATCTTCAGAACAACAAAAACAGTTTTGTGATAAAACATCTACACACGCTAACCAGGTATTCAACAACATATGTAAAAAACACAGATGCCAAATAAAATTTCAGCTGTTTGAATTGAGGCTTGCTATTGAACTTGGTATAATGCCAAAAAAGTTAACGAACATATTTGGTTAGTAGAAATCTAAGTAGAGAAATCTGGCATCTGGCTTTGGAGGTCTGCCTGATTGATTTTCTTTTTAATTTTACTATAAAATAGGGTGCTGAAATATATTGTACTGTTCCTTTACTAAACTAGTATTAAATAAAGTTTCAATATGATGTGTGTATGTAGGTGCATAAGTTTAGGTGTGATCATTCCAGTGCTTCTATAACTGAAGGATTTAAAATCACAAGAAATTGAAAACTTTTGGGCATTATCTTAGCACTGTCAGTATAGTTAACCACATGATCCAGATAAGAAACAAAATATAATCGAGCTATCGAGGTACAAGCTGATGATCGTAATTCATTGAAGATTAGATAGCATATACTTAAGGGGGGAAAAGGGTTTTAAAGGCGAAAAAACGCATTTTTTTTTATGATTTTTGCGGCGACAATTATTACACAACTTTTAAGAATGTAAGAAAAAATTAGCAAAGAAAAAAATGAAAAATAAACCGGTGACCGTGAATCTTCGGAGACGCCTTAAAAAAAAGTTGGTTTGGGGTGAGCATCATAACTCGTGATCGGACTATCAAAAAAAAATGTATATGCATTTTAAAGCTGATGAATATTCGAGGTAATCACGAAGAGGAATTTTTTTTTTTATTTTTTTGAGCATTTTGAAGTGAACAACGCGATTTTAGCTTACAAAAATCAAGGCTAATTTGTTATTAAAAAATAGAAAAACAAAACACAAAAAAAACTTCGTGATTTGCTGCTGATTATTAATATTCAAATTTTCCAATTGATCTGATGCTAAAAAAAGACTTTTCAGGAAAATCGATTTAAACTTTATAACTTTTCTGTTTTCTAATTTTTAGTTGTTCGACATATAGTAATGGGTAAATATTTCAAAATTACGGTTTAAATTTCATCAAAATCGGACCACTTATCATATTGCTCCCATAGAAACAAAAAAGAAAACATTTATTTTTTAAATTGTAACTTTTTCATTTTGTTATTTTTTTTTTTTAATTATTTTTGACACAATAATTTATCAACTCAGAATTACGGTTTTAATTTTTTTTTTAAATTGGAGAACTATATCATATACCTGCCATAGCTCGAATAATTGAGCTGCAAATCATCATATCTAAAAGCTTTTAAACATATACGCAAATAAAAATTTCACTTTTGTAATAGCTGCAAGGGTATATATACTTCGGCTTGCCGAAGTTGGCTTTCTTTCTGTTTTTCTATTACATTTCACCAGATTGAGGGATTTGGATCCGCCACTGGCGGTGAGTTAAACTTTGCTTGTAATAAAGGGCCCAGCACAAGTCAGAATAAGAAAATCATTCGTAAACTAGCTCTTTGATAAGGGTCACAGCTCCCGCTGACAATGAACATGAGCACTGCGGGCAGGAATTCCCCGGGCGATATTCCCCCGAATGCTAATTTCCCGGATGATAACTAGCCGCGGGTGATACCCGGTGATAACAGCCGAATAACAAGGCGATAGAATGAAGAATAACAAACGTTACGGTGTCATCGAACCGGTCGGATGAGCAACCAACCTGTTATCCAGGTGCCGTTGAAGCCCCGGAGCCCGGAGGAACCGTATAGGGCCTCCGTCAGATTCCACGCTGTTTTGTTGCCCCCCGCTTCCTCCGCCCGTCCGATTACGGCCGCCAACGACGGACGGAGACAAGCGACGCAGAGAACACAGAAGGCGGTGATCAACAGCGATTTTTCGGCCATTGTGAGGGCCGCCAAGACTGAACTAATGAAATCCGCGACACCCACAACACGTAGCACTCAACGGCGCTGCTAAGAAGCAACTGAGACGGAATCAGAAATCAATTGCAATCACACAGCAATTAGCGTGGACGTCGACTGCGACTGCGACTGCGACCGCGGCAGAGATAGCTCCGATGGGGAGATAAGGAGCGTGGGAGAGCCGCAGAGAGCCGGAGAGAGCTAACAATTGAGCTCGACGTGGCCGTTCCAGATGCCCTGCGTTTTACAGCGCTCTTTAAATCAACACTGGCACACCAAGATCACACTTTTTGCCACAAGCCAAACTCGAAAGGTTTTTTGTCGTAAGTTGCCGGTGGGAAACACTGGCCTACAGAAGGATTGTTTACTCAAAGTCATTTCGGCCATTATGTGTATATTTCTAAAGGTACAGGGAACTTTAAATTTGGGCTAGTTTTTGTCTTTTGCATTTTTTTAACGAACCAATCCGCATAACCAGAGACCGTAATAATTATAAGTTTTATTCAAAAAATTATCTTTTGATGATTATTTTTTAATCTTTACTTTTCACTAAAAAAAAAAATTATTTTTTCAAGTTTAATAAAAATTTAAAAAAAAATAACGATATTTTGTTGACATTTAATTTTACCTCTACAGATATTGATGATTCTATAGGTTTTATTTCCAGCTTGAGTTTTATTTTGTTGTTTAAAAAAAAATAAGACACCGAAGAGTTTTGAAAATATAACCGAAAATGGGGAACGGAAATAGACTAAGTGGACTAGGGCCAACATGTCAGGATTTTTTTTAGGTTTCTAAAATGAATTTATAGGTAATTAACCCTTTATATGACATGTACACCGATTTTGATGCAGCTTTTATACCCTTCCAGAGGGTATTATAATTTCAGTCAGAAGTTTGCAACGCAGTGAATGAGATATCTCTGACCCTATAAAGTATATATATTTTTGATCAGCATCACTTGGAGAGTCGATCTAGCCATGTCCGTCTGTCCGTCCGTTTCTACGCAAACTAGTCTCTCAGTTTTAAAGCTATTCTGCATGCAAATTTCCCAAAAGTTGTCTTTCTATTGCAGGTAGTATATAAGTCGGAACGAACCGAAAAAATAAATAAAAAAAATTATAACTTTGCTGTTTTTAAATTTTTTTTTAGTTCTTCGACATACAGTAATGGTTAAATATTTCTAAATTACAGTTTAAATTTCATCAAAATCGGACGACTATAAAATAATAAACGAAAAACAATTATTATTATTAAAATTGGAAAACGGTATCATATAGCTACAATGGAAACTATGAAATAATTGAGCTGCAAATCATCATAACTTCAATGTTTTTAAATATTATCAAGTCAATCATAATTTAAATGTTAATATTTAATTTTTGCAATAGCTGCAAGGGTATATAAACTTTGGCTTGCAAAAGTTTGCTTCCTTTCTTGTTTAATATAAAAGTTGTATTTAAAAACGGATTTTCAATAAATTTTAAATTTTATTATTAACTTACCTTGAAGTACTTTAACTAAACCTTTATTTGTGAAATAAACAGATTCTAAGCTGCAAAACCCCAAACATGGAGTTAGTCATCAATTTGCTAGACACTGCAAGAAATAAAGGAGTAAGCCACTCTAAAAGGAACAGCAAATAAAGTATGGATAACAGTGCTCTAAGTATTTTTGGAATTGGCTTTTAAGTGTAGAAGAAATTGTCGTTTCTATTAATTTTTCTGCCACTATATGTTGTACGCTCATCCTAACTCCCTGTCGAAGAGGCTAATATGGTGTAGGTCTCTTAACTTAAAAAATACGACTCACATGACCTTTCATTAAAAAATAATCAACAGGTTCAAAGTCTAAAGAAATTTAAATGTAAATTAAATATAATTAATGTATAATCCTTTATGTCAACAGTTTCCTATCCCCTATATTTACAGCCTGCTCAACCTGCCACATAGGTTGCAGGACACCCTTTAACTTAAAACAAATATATACTTAAAAAAAATGAGTGCCATGACAGACAGTTTTGAAAAAACTTGCGTAAGAATTAGTAGAACATCCATGTCGAATCCCAAATATCTAGCTTTTACAGTTTCCGAGATCTCGACATTCATACGGCTATTGCTCCTGATCAAGAATGTATATCCCTTATGGTGTCGGAAACGCTTTCTTCTACCTGTCACATACTTTTCAACGATTTCAATAAACAGGTGCACGCTAGCATGCTTTTGGGCACAATTTTGAGAAGTTTCAAGCCTCTGAGGATTCCTCTGGCATTTAATTCGAACTTGAACGTAAAATTATAGCTGATAAAGCCCAAAGCTCAAACTGTATACATAATATCATGGCCAATTATAATTTATTTCTTCTGAAAGAAGATTCAAATTTCAAGTTGTTCAGAATGCACTCTTTCTCGATCTTCTTGATTTTATATTTATTTATTAATTAAGTTTATTATTAATCTTACAAACAGTGTTGCACGTGCTTCTATTAGGTTTTGTAGTACTGATTGACAGACAGATAAACCAGGTTATTAAAACAAATGTCCATGCACTGCGATCCAAAATTGAGGTCTTAAGTCCGAAAAGGTTCTCACTGCGGCCGCTGAGCCGTAGGAAGCTGATGTTGCTGGTGGGTCGGCTCCTGCCGCTGGAGCTGCATGACGTGGCTCAGGATCTGCGCCTGCTGCTCGAGACACTTGGGAAAGAAGGTCTGCATGAGGTCCACCTTGCGCTCCTCCAGCTCCAGGCGCTGGCGGCAGATCTTTGTCTGCTCGTAGAGTAGCTGGTTCTTCCGCCGCACCTCCTCCATGTAGAGCGCCTCCAGAGAGTCGGCGTGCGGCGGATTCACGGATCCATAGGGGCGACCCCGCTTCCGTGCCACGGGCACAGGGGACGAGCCAACGACAGGCGGATTGGTAGGAGTAGGAGTCGCAGCAGGAGCTGTAGCTGGAGCTGGAGCCGCAGCCGGCGCCGACATGCCGCCGTTTGAGTTTGTGGCCACGCTGATGGTGTTATTGCTGCTATTTATGTAGGCTACCGCCGTGATGGGCTGGTGGTTAATGGTCGAGGTGGCCACGACGCTGTTGCCGGGATTGTTGGTGAAGTGGGCCGGCTGCTGCTGAAACTGCGGCTCGAAGCTCTGCTGGAACTGCTGCTGCTGTTGGTGCTGCTGCTGCTGTTGCTGCGGCGTCTGCAGCTCGAGCAACTGAGCCGGCTCGGCTGGCGAATACTGTTGCAGTTGCTCCTGGAAGGGCAACGAGCGGTACTCGTCATCCTCGTACTCCTGCTTGACCACCTCGTCGTACTGGTCCGTGAACAGCTCCGTGCTGAAGCTCATTCCGCCGCCGCTGCTGTTGTTGTTGTTGTGGCTGCTGCCGTGATTGCTGTTGCTGTTGTAGAAGGTGGCAGCGGGCGGCTCAGCGGCAGGTGCGTGAGCCGGCTGCTGAAGTGGCTGCTGTGGTTGCTCCGCTTGCGCATCCTCCCGGGGCGGCGTCATGTCGCGATTGTTGAGCAACGCCTCCGGCGGCAGCGGATCCGCGTTCTTGGGCCTGTGCAGGTTCTTCAGGATGCGGTTGATGATGTCGTACTTCTTCCAGCGCGTGGCATAGCTGGAAGGGTCTGCCTGCAGCTGTTTCTTCACCTGCCTGTGGGGAAAACAGTCAGCATCTCGTGCATATTGGCTCGTCGTACACTTACCTGAACTTGGCTCTGGTCTGGTTAACCTTCATCTGGATCTCCTCGGGCTTCACGTCCACGGCGAACCGCTCGCGCAGCTCCTCGGCCCAGCGGCCAAAGAAAATTGTGTTCTTGCCGGTGCGCGTCAGCCGCCAGTTGTCGCGGCCCCAGATCTCGTACAGGCGCTCCTCCTCGCTGGGCGTCCAGTAGCGGCGCGCCTTCTCCTTGGCCCTGCCCTCGAGCATCTCCTGACCCCCGCACATGGCCAGATCCTGTTCGGCGCCACTGCCGCTGCCTCCGCCGGCTGAACTGCCTCCGCCTCCGCCTGCGTTCAACTTCTCGTAGTCCATCGACTGCCCTTCTCCGCTCCGCTCCTTCTCCTGCTCCTGCTCCCCTCTCTCAGCGCTCCTGGGATTGCGGGACTCTATGGCCAGCGCTCGAATTACACAATGCAAGGCTGTGGGGCAGCCGGAAAACACGGGGAAGCCAAGAGTTTTCTGCACAAAAAATCAACAACAGCTCTGATACACAGAAGAGTGTGACCGTGCGTAGCCAAAACGTCGAAAAAATGCCAAGGCGCCAGCGTTGCCACTAAGGGGAGATATTGACACTAAAATAGGTGGATCACGCTGGCACATATTTTCACTACTTATTCATTTCTCTTAAAACAGCGTGGCTAGTGAAGAATAAGGCCGCGGGACGAGCCAAAAATGTGCTCTAAAAAATTCTCAAATTCGTCATAACTCCACATTAGGGTGGTCCAAATTTGTATGAAAAATTTCAAGGACTTTCCTTACCCGCTTACACAAAATAATACCGTTTGAGACTAAAATGGGGAAGAGAACCAAAGAAAACCAAAATATTTATGTTTATATCTATTAATATTTTCAAATTGTTGATCATCTGAATACCAGACTAAGACAGTTCTCAGCCATTTCCATCCGACTTCGATTTCCACAGAGCACATCCACCATCAATCTTCCGATAACAGCTGATCTAAACAGCTGTGGCTCATCAAATTATAAACAAAGATGCTTGACCTGTTGACTTTGTTAATGTTTTGACGAGTCACGGCTGTTCAGATCAGCTGTGATCGGAAGGTGCGTGGTGGATGTGCTCTGTGGAAACGGGAGCTTCACATTTGTCAAAAATAGTAACCTAAATAGCTTTGTGAATATTCTATTAGGCTTAATAAAAAGTTAATGCGCCAATAAAATAAGGCGATTTAAATCCAAATTAAAGCAGCAAACCGCTATTTTCTAAAAGCCAAATACGCACGTGTTAAGTTATGAGACTCATCGTTGTTATTAATTAATTTCTTTAGTTTTGGTGTTTGTTTCCCAGATTCCGTTATTCAATTACAAATTAAAACCAATTTCGTACAGCCAAACGCATATATTCGAGTTTTCTGCTTCTAGGAAGCTCGCGTAAGTGTAAATAGTCTATTATAACTGGCGGCATTTCCAAAGCGGTGAGCATTTGGTATTTTCAGCCTTGCCACTTGGGTATTTCTGGCAACACTCTTGGCTTTTACGTGCTTCCCTCGTCTGGTAGTCGGTCACGTACGAAAATGTTTGGATAGCCGGGCAAATTTGGCAAATCGGAAAATGAGCGGCCAGAAGCACCTGCGATTGCGCTACTACACCTCCTTGGAGGAGGCCCTGCTGGTGCGGCTGTGGCGCGAGCACCTGCACAACATTCCCTCCTACACAGAGAACCTGCCCATATTCCGGGAGATTGCGCACGGTCTGCAGCAGCACGGCGTTCGGCTGAACAAACAGGAGGTTCGCCGGCGCATCAACAGCTACCGCAATAAGTATTTGTACGTGAGTAGTCGTCGGCCACCAGATTCAAATGCTAATGTACCATTTTCCTTTCCTCCGCAGGAACGAACGCAAACGCGTGGAGAGCAATGCGGAACACCAGTCTGACTGGCGCCTGTACGCCCTCATTGACTCCCTATTCCATCCCGACAGACCTGCGGCGGACCTCTGCCACGCCCACCATGTACTAGAGCAGGCCGAGGCGCGTGCTCGGGCGGATCTGCCTGCCCTGCCACCGCTGCGCCACACTTCGTCCGCCCCGGCGAAGTTCGAGCGCGACCCGGACGGAAGCGCCTTCCTGGATGCCCAGCCGCTGGTGCTGCCAGTGGTCAAGGCGGAGCCAGCACAAGCTGCCTATCACCAGGTCAAGAGCGAGCCCAAGCCCACGGAGGCGGAGCTGGGCCACGCGTATGCCGACAGTGCCATTATCAGGCGGACTCCACTGACGCCCGCCAACCATCTGCTGCCGGAGGCGGCAGAGGATCTGGCGAACGCGGGGCACGTCAATGGGCAACCGGAGGCCGAGCGCTCGGCGGCCAAGAGAAGACGTGGACGCCGCAGCATCCTGCCCCGCACGGGACAGATCACCATGGCCATTGTGGAGGGGCTGCGGCAGGAGAACAAGATGCTCGAGGAGCAGAACGACGCCTGCCTGCTCGCACTGGAGCAGAAGGAGAAACAGTTCCTGGCCATGGAGCAGAACTTCCTGATCTATCTGGAGCGGCAGGAAGCCTTGCTGGCGCACATGCAGCAGCGAGGCATTAAGCAGGAACCGGATCGGGACTTCTAGGCCATCGGGACTGAAAGTGTGGGGCAGATTAGCTTTAAGTAGGAAACAAGGGTCACACAGGGAACGTCGCCTCGCCCATTTCATTTCGTTCCTTCCTCAGACACGAACGTCTAGATTACTCGATGTACAAAGCAGCATAGCAAACCGAAGATATTATTATTTTTCAGTTCTCATTAACACTAACGTCCATATGAATTGGCTAAGCAAAAGGATATATAAATGTATGAAAAAGTAAATTTTTGTAAAAGACATTTCGTTAAGAAATTAGAAATTAAAAACTAAAACGAATATTTCGAATTTGGGAGTAACTCCAGGATATGTATATATTTTGTTAAGGAAGGCCTTGTTGTTTTAATTATTAACTATTATAGCTGCTTGATATTTTTCTTACGCATAAAAGGAACTATTGTCCATGTAAAACAGAGTGTTACGGAGGCGACTCTATCCAGACCAGATGTTTAATTACGACGATCCAAACAGAACAAGAGTTGCAATTGATTTAAGAGGTGATTGATTTTCGACAAAATCGAAAATTTTTTATTACTTTATCTTAAAGAAGAACTCCTTGAGAATATGTTCTCAAATTTTCATAGGGATTCGAGCAGTAGTAGTAAAAAAGTTACAGCACTTCTAACCGCGCGCCTCGTCGCGGCCCCAAAACCCAAAACTTGAAACTTTAAACGCGAATATCTCGAAATGGTGTTCTTTGAAAAATGACTTTGCGGTGACGTGGATTGGCGGAAAACTACTGAACCGATTTTCTTCAAATTTTCTTTAAAATGTTCGTAATAAAATTTTTCTGAGATTGAACGATCGACTTTTCACGCACAAACTTTGAATTAGTGAATTTTCTAGTGACCAAAAACTTTATTTTTTGCATAAAACGTTCCCGTGTGTACAAAAAAAAATTAATAAAAACGATCGTTGAAGCACAAGGAATTATACTTACATTTATGGTTTCAGTTGACTTGTTCGACCTTGGGAACCGTCACCGCAAGGCTCTGCCAAAAAAAGGCCTCTAAGGGAAACAGCCACCCCTTAAAAACTATTTGATATTTTTCCACGAAATTTCGCACAAACATTGTTAATAAAGTGTACTATTAAAAAATAAAAACATTCGTGTAATGAAATCATTGCTACATGCCTAAACAAATTCAAACTTTCCTTATGAGGTCTAAGCTTAAAGAAAATTAATTAATGAAGTATAATGCCAATGAAAGTAAAAACTTCGGGACATGAAGCTGTTTAGAACTTTTGCAAAATCTAACAAGACAAAGCTAGAGATACTAACAACCAGCAGGTGATTTCAGCAGGAAAATCTTGGGTCTTTCGTTCAATTGCCAATAATTTTTAAGAGTTTTCGTTTGGTGAACACCCAAGCTGAAATGTCAGAGCGTTGGATTTGTTTGGAACTACAGCAATTTAGAGTTGCCGTCGTTTAAGAAAAACAAAAAAGGTGTGAGTGCTTATCGAAACTCTCAAAAAATGTCTTCGGTTTTTTTAGTTTTTCAGATCTCCAATTCTTAAGTTCTTAATTCTAAGCTCTCTGTATGCCTTTGCAGTTTTAAGAATCTGATGTTGAGGTAAGGGGAACTATACCAGTTATACCAGGTATACAGTTCAGAGTTTCAGACTCTTCAGTTTCGGAAATTCCCAAAATATATTTCTATTTCAAGTCATAAAATACAAAATAAATTTTCCTCATGCAAAAGTATATACAGATATTTGCTCTCAAATTGCAAGAACATTTTGATAATGTCGCATCATCGGCTTTGAAAAACTTTTCCGCTTTTCGCAAAATGGATGTAAACCTTCATTCATTAAATCCTCCGCCATGGTGGTATATTGCTCTTGCTAAACAGTAGCTTTGAGACGTATTTGTTAAATTGAAAATGGTTATTTTCATATTCGCCTGATCGACTTAACTAAGTGAGAAGACAAGAACACGACCAGTATTTTTAATAAGAGACAGACATTTTAAATGTCTACTCACTATTTTTCCAATATTTCGCCACTCACCAAGTTAATAGACATTATTTTATTTATTTCACATTTTCTTTCTTCAGGAATATAACATTTTCAGTTACATGTCTATTTTAAATATAATCACAGTTGGAGCACTTTAAAATTTCTACACGTTTATGTTTAAAAATGGTTTAATTTGTTGCAAGAAGGACATTCTAAAAGCTGTCGTATAAAATCTCCAGTCTTATTGATCAGTATTATCCAAAATGTTTGACCGTAAATCATAAATATCTACACTTGTACCCACCAATGTAGTTTATAAATGATGTATTTTAAAAAGATGCCTTTAAATTGTTATTATTTAGATCGTTAAGGACTGATTCCTTAATAACTCTAATGTTTATGAGGCACTGAAAAGCAGAGTTCCCATAGCAAGCATTATTTCGGTTTTCCATACCACGAAAAGTTTGTAAAATAGCTTTATTATCAGCCTTGCACCTTGTAACCTTTTCTTTTAATACGGATTGACGTTGTGGGTATACGTTTTTATCAAAAACATTTTTATTGCTTTTTATATTTGCAACCAGATGTTGAAGATATATTCTTTATATACTTCTTAATCGATTGTACTCTAATATAGTTAGTCTTAATACTTTTCGGATTAAGGTTCAGTATGTTAGCCAGAAAGTTATAATGCGACATTTGTTTGACCATTTGCTAATACACTACACAATATCCACAATTCCAGATGATATTGTTAACCCTTGGAGTTTATGAATTGTTATGGCATACGCTAAACATATTGAAAATTGTGTTCGTGTTATAAAAACATTTAATACTATTTTGGCAGTTTTTTTAACTTCTAATGTACCTGCCAAATTAACTGTTTCCAACAATTTACATTTGTTTTTAAGTTTTTTTGGAGGCTTTAGCGGCCTTAAGTTTTTGAATTGTAGTTTTCGCTTCAATAAAATCTTCAGTTTTTTTCAACATTCCGGCGTTTAACTTTAGGCATTATTCTGTTGTTGGATATAAGCATATTGTATGTGGAGGCAGCTTTCCAATATATTTGATCTATTTGGCGAGACATGTTTCTATGGAATCGTTATTTAATTTATTTGCGAGCAGCGATTTCTGTAGGTCCAGCCACAGGTCCATGGCGTTTTCAAAAAACGTAATTTTGTAATTATTTTACTTGAAGAAATTATATATTATGTTCAACGATATACATATAGTACGCACCCATAGCTTTAGTCGTTTGGAAGTTGTGGAATCTAGCCTTTGTTGTGTGAAATCTAGATTTTACTTAGCCGTTTAACCGCTAGAGTACCGGGTTTTCCAAAAAGTGGTAGCACAAACGTTATTCAGCGCGAGCTCTAATACAGTAAAGCGGGTTTTGAGAGGACAAACGTTGTAATTTCAAAAACTCTCTAAAAATTATATTTGAGCGGATTATCGGATTGTCGTGTCGTTGGGCGCCTTATTAAACCAAACAAGCCAAATTCAACAGTGCCACAAAAGTTCTTTTGCTCCTTGGGCCCCAACAGATGCATAATAAGGAAACAATTTTTTCGCACTTTTAGGCCTATTTCTCCGGAACTAAACGACTTTCAAAATCTTTTACTATGTACAAACTCTTATGAAACCGCTACGTTTCGATTGCTATATCATTTATTAAGATCGGACTATACTTTACTGGATTCGAATATTGCGGCTATATAAAGTAGTCTACTTGCGCACGCTTTCCAGTGCTCGTAGTCACTACGTGGACGGCCGTCCACAGTGATAGTAGTCTCCATCGTCACTACATGTACTGCCGTTCATAGTGATAAAATCGACCAGTTTAGTTTATCCAACAACCGTATTTAATTTCTTCAGCAACCAGTTAACTGGCACGAGCAGAGTGACCGTCGCTGGAACTTTAAAATATCCCCGATTACCGCTAGCGATGTCGACCCCGCCTCTCTTTATATCGCCCTTATCCAAAAATTGCGCACTCTTAAGCCTAAAACATGGGGTGGCAGAGACTTTTTAGGGTTTTCATTCTTTTTCGATTTCGAGTAGAGATGGAAAAACATCGATGTTACCCCGCCAAACATCGATAAAACCGATGTTTCGAAAACATCGATGACATCGGTGTTGGCATCGAAGTTTCTCCACCTCTAATTTTGAGACTTCGAAGTTCGAACAAAACGGTTGTGTTTTTTCCCGTGTGTGCGGGTGGCGGACGCGCGTGCCAATCGGAAAAAGCCTGAGAATTAAATGAGTTGTTCGCAAAAGCCAAGGCAGCAAAAAGGAGCGAACCAAGGTGTGTTGTGTGCGGATGCGGAGAAAGTCAGCTCACGAAAAAGTTCCAAGATCGCCGGACGGACAAAAAAAAAAATTGTCGTCGACTCGGGGCCAAAGAAAAACAAGTGTAGCATACAAATTTAAATGTTAGCTGTGCAGTGAGTGTGTGCAATTGTGTGCGAGCGTCAACTAAAATAAACAACAAAAAATTGTATTTGCTGCAGAGAAAGAGAGAGCAGAGAGAGAGACAGAGGGAAGCTGTTGTTGCCGCTGCATGTGGCATGCCCAAAAATCAGCTGGCCCCGTTTTGCCTCTCCCTCGCACACTCGCACACGAAGCGTGTAGTCCAGTGTAAAAGGCGGCGCAGCTTTTCCTTTTTAGCGTACATTCTGGACTGGACACTCTCGTCTTATCTCTCTTTCTCCATTTGCAGCACTATGCTACAAATGTGAAAAGCAAACCCGTTCCGTTTTACTTCACCCACTGATTCGGTTTTTTTCTGCTGTCGCGTCACGCCTCGTCTTGTTTTTGTTGCAGTTGTTGCTTTTACTTAATGCCCCTTTCATTCATAGAAAACGGTCAGCAAACGAATAACAAAACAAAAGCAACAGCAGCGCGATTTCTTTATTTTCGGCCAAGAGAGCAGCCAGAAAAGCGAACACAAAAATCAACAAAATACAAAATACAAAACACAAAGCCAAATTAAAGAAATTAAATTTCAAATTCGTGCGGCCACCAACAACAACAGCCATATCGAAAGAAAGAAAATTATCAAAATCATCATCAGCAGCACAAAAATCGAAAATTGACTCGCTGTTGTGTGTGATGTAAGTTCGATAATAATTCCGTACAATTGAAAAAGTTCATTTTATATCTGGTCTTTTATGCCTAACTGGCGCTATTGTTGCTGTTAATTTGGCTTCCTTTCGTTTTCCGCTTGTTTGTGGAATTCGTTCCTCGATTCTCTTTATCGGCGCATAAATTGTACATATATGTACATACTGTGCTCCACTTAGATACTATATTTAACTTTTAAAATATCAGACTATTTCCGCTGTTTTCAAATTTTTAAATATGTTTAAATTTTTTGATAGAGTTACTTCGTTAGACATGAATAAACCAGACAAAACATATTAAAACTATCTTAGGTATTTGTTGTAAACGTGAACGGTTGTCATGATTTTCTGGGTTTTTTCTATGGCAGTAATCATGTGATGCCAACCCATAACGTCTACAAAAATTTTGATAAGCAATAGTAGTCAAAGTGGTAAAAACGCGAAATCATAACTCGTTCTTTATCTATTTAAGCATACGTACATGCATAAGTTATTCCTCCATCGTTTAAATTCTTATTTGATTTGATTAATTCATGTTTCAATCGTCTGTTGATTTTCGCATTATCAAAACATTTGTTAACCCATTAAAAACGTGTTCGGCATTTGTTGTCTCTCAAAGAGATCATTAAAAATCCCATAAATTTTGTCGTCGTTTGTGTCTAAATATATGTCCCCTAAGTAAATACTTGAAAATATATGTTTTAATTCGTGTGTACGTCTTTTAAAAATAGATTTTTGTAGGTGTCAAAAAAAGCTAAATAAATATGGAGCTTACAAAATGTTTATTCATTGTATAAAACCAAAATAAAACCGAAACCTTTAATAATACTTGTGTTAGACCTGTCTTTTCTCAAAATGTATTTGTTTTTTCGTCAAATTGATTAACATTTGAGGCTTTCCGCAAAACAAAACACATTTTTTCCATAATTTTGTAACCACAAATCGGATACTCATCAATGATTTTGCCGAAAAAGTTTATTATTATTATTATTATTTTTATAACAATGTTATCTTTAAATTGTGATGGCATAAAGGTGTAT